TTTGTATTTTCCAGCCTTGTGTTTCCCTCTGCTGTATTACTGTTTCCATCGGTGAACCAAACCTGGTCAGCATCAGCCAAATGTTGATCCAAGAAGTTCAGGTGGGCATTTAAGAAAATTGTCAAGACCTTGGAACAAAAATGGGCAGGAGCTTTCCCTCCTGGTTTGGGCAAGATTGCTGGATTTAGAGTCCTACAAACACCCAAGATATCTGTAGGTTTGATTTCTGGGTTGGGAAGATCCCCTGGAGAAGGGCAGGGCAACCCACTCCACTATTCCTGCCTGGAGAAGACCATGGACAGAGGTGCCTGGTGGGCTACAGTTCATAGGGTCGCAAAGAGTCAGGTATGACTAAAGCGACTTAGCACACACACACGCATATGGCTACCTCTGTAGGCAGGTGGACAGCCTGGATTAGCTGCTTAATGAGGGCCGTATTTAGTGAGGTTGTTTTTGGAGATTAGGTATCCTCTTTATTTGCAGATGGCTACACAGGCATGTAGGATCAAGAAAGCATATTTAGAATCAGTGTAAATTGTGACCCTTTTTGATCTGGCCCGTTCTAATGCTCAGGTGAGTGCAGTGACTTTGGCAAGTTATGGGGATGAGCACTGAGACAGAGCCCAGGCCTCAGTGACCTCATGAAGGGATGTGATGACATATCCAGCCTTGTGTTTTCCCTCTGCTGTATTGCTGTTTCCATCGGTAAACCAAACCTGGTCAGCATCAGCCAAATGTTGATCCGAGAGGTCCAGGTGGGCATTTAAGAAAATTGTCAAGACCTTGGAACAAAAATGGGTAGGAGCTTTTCCCCCTGGTTTGAGCAAGATTGCTAGATTTAGAGTCCTACGAACACCCAAGATATCTGTGGGTTTAAAAAAAAGGGGGGTGGGAATTGATATCTGAGGATCTTTTTGTCTGAAAGCCAGGATGAAACCTGGTCATTAAGTAAATGTACATGCTGAGCAGTGAGAACCCAAGTGGGTGCTCCCAGGGTGAATTTAAGGGCCTCCTCTCTTAGGAGGGATAGTACCCCTTATGCCCTAAGACAGGGGGCCAACCCTTCACAGTGGGACCCTACTGTTTGGCGAGTTAGGCTACTGGCTTTGGAGTTTCTTGTAGTCTTTGGGTGAGGACCCCTAAGGCAACGCCACTTTTTTCATGGGTGGAAATTTAGAATGGCTTGGAAAGGTTGGGTAATCCTAAAGTTGGAGCTCTGGTAAAGAGATTGTTTTGCCAAATCTCTGGCAAAGAGATTTTAAAGTTGGAGCTCTGGCAAAGAGGAGGTTTCTATGGCCTCCTGTTGAGATGACCTCCATACAAGGGGTATTTAATCATCTCTGCGTTTTAGGGCTTCATATATGGGCTGCACAATGAAACTGTAGTTGGGTATCTGAATTCTACAATACCTGGTTAGGCCCAGGAATGCTCGCAGCTGCTTACATGTGGTATGAGTCTGTAGGTCAGATATAGATGGCTTTTATACAGTCTGCCAAAATACTGTGCTTGCCAGTATACCTGTCAGTACTGTTCTGAGCTAGGCAACTTATTGTTGTACTAGCTGAGCCTTAGATTGGGACACCTTATAACCCGACTCAGCCAGGAAATTAAGGACCTGACTGGCATGAATGGCCTAGGGTTGAGAGAGGAAACAAATCAAGAGTTCATCTACATACTGTATGAAAGCTCCCCTCTCAGGTGTTAAATCTTGTAAATCTCGGACTGCAAGTCACTCAGTTGTGTCCAACTCTTTGCGACCCCATGAACTGTAGCCTGCCAGGCTCCTCTGTCCATGGAATTTTCCAGGCAAGAATACTGAGTGGCTTGCCATTTCCTTCTCCAGGGGATCTTCCCAACCTAGGGGTCAAACCTAGGTCTCATTGCAAACCTAAAGAATTGCAAGCAGATTCTTTACCATCTGATCCATCAGGGAAGCCCTAATCTCAGGCTAACACCTGTCTAAAGAGGTGGGAGCTATCCCTAAAGCCCTGCAGCAGAACGGTCTAGGTCAGTTGCTGAGGTGCTTGTAATGGAGATTCTCATTCGAATGCAAATAAGTATTGTGATTCTGGGCCCAATAGGATGCAGGAGAAAGCATCTTTCAAATCTAGAGCTGAGAACCAGCTACTATCTGGGGGTAACTTTCCCAAAAGTATGTGAGGTTTGGAGACTGGGTGTAGGGGAATTATTGCCTGGTTAATGATTCACAGATCATTAACCAGGCAATAATGGACCAGGTGGTAAGTGCCATCCTTTTTCTTGGCTGCTAATATTGGGGTACTGCAAAGTGATTTTGTGGGAATGAGTCCATGAGACATCATGGATTTGGATATGAAGGGTTGAAGTCTCATGTGGGCTTTGGACCTTAGGGGATATTATGTCTTTTAGGGAAATTTATGTGGGTCCTTTAGAGCTGTCATGACCAGTGTTGCATTTTTAGCTTTTCTTTGGACACCTGGGTCCCAGGCCAGTGGATTGACTTGCAGCTGGTCTGGCCCAGAGGAATTTTTGATATCTTCATTAGTTAGGAGATTTCTTAAAGTTTCCCAGAATTTGCACCCTGGATGGGGTCCATGTGACCCTCCTAGGAAGACAGAAAGAATGGCATTCCATTTTTGTACTACGTCCCTCCCCAGAAGTCATCTTGGACAGTCAGGCATTTGTAAAAAATTGTGGGAGAATCCAGACCCCTCCCAGACACAGAAGAGGGATATAGTAGAAGGCCTGTTGAATGGTTTGCCTGTGGCTCCCATGATGGTGCAGGTCTATGAAGAGAAGGGTCCAGAGAAGGAAGTCAAGACAAATAGGTGGCCCCCCACCTGAGTAAGAAAATGTTTGACTTATCTGCCACATCCATTTGTGCTCTTGACTCCACTCCAGTGATGTGGATCTGTTGTACTGGGGCCAACTGGAGGGGCCCTCCTCAGTCTTGGCAGTCATCTGGGTAGCAGCCTCTGGTCCTTAGTCTCTTTGGATCAAGGGACAAAGGGTTGCCCAGTTTCCCAACTGTTGGCATTTATAGCAAGCAGTCTTAGGTTTATCCCAGCTGGGGCATTTCTGTGCCCAATGGCCCATCTGGCAACAAATGTGACATTTGTCTTTTTTTGAGCTGTAAATTCAGGGTACTGTTGGGGGCAGCTTGACCCTGTAGGGCAGCCATCATTTGGGCATTTGATTCTTTCCTTCTTTCTTTCTCCCAGGCCTTGGCCTCAGTCTCTTTGTCACGGTTATAGAAGACTGAGGCTTTGTTCACTAGTGCATCTAAGGTGACATTTAGGTCTTCAATTAGTTTTTATAATTTGTGTCTAATATCAGGTGCTGATTTAACTTGTCCCTCATGTGAGTCCAGATCTAGATTGGTATATTCAATGAATGCTTCCCTCAGCCTAACAGGAAGCTTCAACGGGAAGGCTGTTGAATTTTCCCTGGGCTCCTGGCTGATTGCTGTTACGTGGGAGTAGTTTATGACTTTATGTTAGGGTTCCTTAAGGCCTGCTTTGATACAGATGATAAAATTGTTTCTTTCCCACTGGTGTTCTTTCTGTAGTGTTCTGACTGTAGTCCCATTCTGGATCAATGCTGGGGCTTGCCGTCTTCCCAATGGGGTATTTAGTACCAGAAAGGTGGAGTCCATCAGCAAATCTTTCTGCCTCTCTTTCAACTTGTTCTGTATCAGTATCAGAGAGGGTCTGGTTTAGGATTATTGTGATAGCTTTCCAGGTCATTTCATAAGCCATAACAATATGTTGGAATCCCTGGATACATTTAGTGGGATTGTCTGACAAGCTACCCAATTTTGCCTTGATCTGTTTTAGTTCTACCAATGAGAAAGGCTTATGGACTAGTTGTGGGCCAAATTTGCCTCCTGGTGCTTCCACCAAGGGATAGACTTTAGCTGATGGAGGTAACAGAGGTCCCTCGTAAGGTGGTGCGGCAGAACTAGGTGTGATGTGGCTGGTAGAACTGAGGGATTTTCCTTAAGTAGCAGGGTTGCAAAGGTGGGAAGTTTACAAGTTGTAAGGAAATCCTGGCTGTTCTGTAGGACAAAGGAAAATTGTACATATGGGCTCTCAGACTATTTGCCCTGCCTTTTGCAAAATAGGTTTAACTGGAGAATAGTGTTATAATTAATGGTTCCATTTAGGGGCCAGGATTCCCAGACCCAAAGGTGATATTGGGTCTAGACTGTATTATAAAAGAAAATGAGTCTCCTCTTTTGTAGCATGGCAGGGTCATGGATGTTTAAGCTGAAGGAGTTGCCTCTTGTTCTCAGCTAACTTCCTGCCTAACAGAGAGATAAGTGAAATATGTTGAGGGGGTTGATTGGTTGGTTTGTTCGTTCAGTCTCTAAGTTGTGTTCAACTCTTTGCGACCCCATGGATTGCAGCATGCCATGCTTCCCTGTCCTTCACTATTTCCCAGAGTTTGCTCAAACTCATGTCCATTGATTTGGCGATGCTATCTAACCATCTCATCCTCTGCCATCCCCTTCTCATTTTGCCTTCAATCTTTCCCATCATCAGGGTCCTTTTCAGTGAGTCAGCTCTTTTCATGAGGTGGCCAAAGTATTGGAGCTTTAGCATCAGTCCTTCCAGTGAATATTCAGACTTGATTTCCTTTGGGATTGACTGGTTTGATCTTCTTGTAGTCCAAGGGACTCAAGATTGAGTCTTCTCCAGCAGAAGTATAAATTTCCACTATAAAATAAATGAGTCACAGGGCTGAAATGTACACCAAGTAGAATATAGTCAATAGTAATGTAATATCTCTGTGTGGTGACAGATGGTAACTAGACTTATTGTGGTGATCGTTTTGTAATATATAGAAATCTCAGATCATTATGCTGTTCATCAGGCACTAATTAAATTTTGCTTTTTTAATTCCAAACAGCCAGAATGAAAACTTAAAAGAATTTGGCTGCAGCTATTTAACCTGAGGGGTAAAACATGTTTTAGTAGTAGAGAATATCTGCCAGCTGGTTATTTTTTTCTTCTTCTCAGAAAGAAATACAGGAAAAAGACAAAAATTGCAGCTTGAGGGAATGAAGCTAGGAATGAAGAAAAGATCCCTGACAGTATGGTGATGTTCCTTGGACGCTGGAATTGATTACCAAGTATTTGATCAGACTGAAGTTTTGCCTAAAGGTGATCTTATCGATAAACCACCTGAGAGGTGAGAGATATTATCTTTGACAAGATAATTTCCACAACTCCTTGAAATCTGTGTTTGGCAAAGATCAAAATGACTGGGGTGCTTCAACTGGGGTTTTGCATTTTTAACAAGCTTTCTTTATTAGTCATTATCTAGTCAGAGAAATAGCAATGCCTTCCATTTAGTGAAAGGGATCAGTTATTATAAGATTATCTGTTGGGAGGTTACAGAACACCCTAAAACTAGTAGCTTAAAGGAACAACTGCTTGTTATTGCTCCTCAGTCTAGTGGACAACTAACTGGGTTGCTCATCTGATTCTGGCTGGTCTCAATTGTGTGTCTGTGGTAGATGTCAGGTCAGCGAGGTGCCTCTGGTCCTGACATCTGATGGATGTTGGCTGGGGCACTTTGCTTCTCCTCTGTGAGGTCTCATTCTTCAGCAGACCAGCTCAGGCTCATTCATCGGAAGCTTAGTGGGATTCCAGAAGAAAGCATGCAAGGTTTTTGGGTCTAAAATCAGAACTGGCAGTGGGTTTGTGGGATATGGTCTTTATTATGTTGAGGTATGTTCCCACTATGCCCACTTTTCAAAGTGTTTTTATCGTAAACGGGTGTTGGATTTTGTCAAAAGCTTTTTCTGTATCTATTGTGATGATCATATAGTTTTTATTCTTTGGTTTGTTAATGTGGTGTTGGACTTGATTGATGCACATATGTTGAAGAATCCTTTCATCCTTGGGATAAATCCCACCTGATCAGATTGTTAGGTTGAAATAAATATATGCAATATAAAAAAAATCAGAACTGGAGTATTGCTTTTGCTACTATTTATTGGCCAAAGCAAGTCATAGGTCTAACCTAGATCCCAGAGGTGGAGAAAGACATTACTTGTTGATAGGAGGAGCTTTATAGTCGTACTGCAAAGGGGAATAGGCAGTCAGAAGGGATTAATCTGAACCATTTTTCATACTGCCTATCATAAAAATAATGGTGTTGGGAGAACCGGAGGAATGAAAGGAACAAGGAATGTGCTAAGGAATAGCACTTTTTAAATATGATTTTAATGGGACCTGCTCCATTGTAGGAGGTGGAGTCTTCTCCATCTCTTGAGTCTGGGTGGGCCTTACAGCTTGCTTGGCTGACAAATGATAGCAAAAGCAATACTGTGTCAACAAGCAGCGCTGGGGTCTTGGAGGGAGGTGTGCCCTGCTGCTGCTAGAATTACTTATGAGATACCACCTCTGCTAGGACCAGGGTGACTTCTCCTTTCCAGGTGCCAATGATTCACATTGACTGAACCTAACCAAAAGCCACTGAAAAGAGAATCTGGAAAACCTAGCATGCTTCCAGGGCTGGTAGTATAGAGTAGGAGATTGAAAGGAGAGTGTGGGACTGTGAGCAGATTGGAAAACAACCACACAGTTCCACAGTTCCCTGTGGAATTCTTATCGCATTACAGGTATGAGATTGCTCTAAGATGCTATGATTCCAGGGGGGTAGTTTGTCATCCCAAAGACAAACACTGGCTGCGTCAACTGTGTCTTGGTGATCCTGGGGAATTACTCTTGCTGATTTTGACCTGTAACTAGGCTGGAGCTAGGGGTGTTCACAAGATAACTATGGTGAATGGTCAAGAAAGTCAGATTTTGGTCTCATTCATCATTATCTCAAAGGAGGTTATCTGTATGGAGAAGCAATGTGCATGCTTAGTTGCTAAGTCATGTCCAGCTTTCTGTGACTTTATGGACGCTAGCCCATAAAGGAGTAGCCCACCATGCTCCTTTGTCCACAGGATTCTCCAGGCAAGAATACTGGAGTGGTTTGCCATATCCTTCTCCAGGTGATCTTCCTGACCCAGGGACTGAACCTGAGTCTCCTGCATTGGCAGGCAGACTCTTTAACCACTGAGCCACCTGGGAAGCCACATGGAGAAGTAATAGATAACAACATTTTGATGTTTGTCTTCTGAGAAGTTGCTTGGCCAGTGGTCCCAGCCATCAGCCCAGAGGATTTGTATGATGCTATGAGTGAATGGGGTATAGAGAGGCAGGCAATCAGCATGAAAAAGTACAAGAATAGTAATCTAGTCAGTCTTGTAAGAAGTTACAATTCTGAATTCTCTAATTAGAAGAGAGAATTTTACATATTATTAGAGAAATCTGGTAGCTTCCACTTGAGAGTCAGATAAGGACTAATTACTGCAGCTGAGGGGACATCTGAAGGATGGGACAGGGGTCAGGAAGGCACAAGTCAGGGTGACAAATAGTACAAGAATGACATTGCTACTGGGGAGCTTATAAAAATTCCACACTGAACACTGCAGAAGCTTAGTTATGAATTCTGAAGACATCTAAATATGTAATGGACTGATCTGGCACGAATGTATTTTAAATATGTATTATTTTCCTGTAAGAACTATTTAACAGTGATTATTTATCTGAGGCTTAATCAATTAGTGTTTGAAATTGGCCTGCAAATGTGAAAAAAAAAACTACTTAACCTTGGCTCTTTAAGACATGTTAGAAATCATCTATTATTCCTCTCATTGTGTCTATAATGAAACTGGGTCCCAGAAAGCTGACATAGCTGGTCTGAGGTCATGCAGCTGATTAAAGATGGAATCAGGACTAGAACTCAACCTGGGTGATTCCCAGTCAGATGAGTTTTTATTCCCTTTACCATAATTTCTACCTTGTATTTTGACAGAGGTGAGGCCTGTATCTAAATGAAGCTTGAAGAAAGTGTTCTCTAGATTCATCAGAATCACTCATGGGTGCTTTTATAGATCTGCTTGGAGCCTAGCCCAGAACTTCAGAGGCAGAATTCTGTGTATTAAAACAACCACCACCACCTGCTTAGGCATTTTTGATGTCCTACCTCCCTTTTATCTTGCCTAGTTCTGTGTAAGGATATGCTTTTACACGTTGATTAGCAGGAGAGCGAACTCTTTCCAGAGGTTTACATGCTTTCAGTTAGGTAAGGCTTTTGCCTAAAGCCCACCCACCCCCTTTTATAAATACTTATTTATTGATACTTGGCTGCGCTGGGTCTTAGGAGCAGCACACAGGATCTTCAAGTCTTCATTGTGGCACATGGGATCTTTTTAGCTGTGGCATGAGGGATCTAGTTCCCTGACCAGGAATCAAATGTGGGCCCCACTGGACCACCAGGGAAGTCCCTGAAGCCCTGTCTTTTTTTTTAATTTGGAGGCTAATTACTTTACAATATTGTAGTGGTTTTTGCCATACATTGACATGAATCAGCCATGGGTGTACATGTGTTCCCCATCCTGAACCCCCCTCCCATCTCCCTCCCTATCCCATCCCTCTGGGTCATCCCAGTGCACCAGCCCCAAGCACCCTGTCTCATACATCAAACCTGGACTGGCAATCTGTTTTGCATATGATAATATATACATGTTTCAGTGCTATTCTCTCAAATCATCCCACCCTCGGCCTCTCCCACAGAGTCCAAAAGACTGTTCTATACATCTGTGTCTCTTGTGCTGTCTCACATATAGGGTTATCATTACCATATTTCTAAATTCCATGTATATGCATTAGTATACTGTATTGGTGTTTTTCTTTCAGGCTTACTTCACTCTGTATAATCGGCTACAGTTTAACCCACCTCATTAGAACTGATTCAAATGCATTCTTTTTAATGGCTGAGTAATATTCCATTGTGTACATGTACCATAGCTTTCTTATCCATTCTTCTGCAGATGGACATCTAGGTTGTGAAGCCCCGTCTTTACAGAGCAACTTCCTGAGGGGCTCACGAGCTGTAACCCCTCACTCTCAGAGATTTCCATGGGCCCCTCCTTTGTACTGAGAGTAATAACGCTGAAGGTGCAGTGCTGGCTATTGACAAGTTGCTTCCTCCAAGTAAAATTGTAGGCTTGTGTTCAGTTCAGGCCACCTCAAGTGCTGCTCTCCAGGTGCCAGGCTGTTGGTGTGTTTGGCCCGTGGTGAGTGTGAGTTCTCAGGGAAGGAAGCCAACTCGGGATAAGTGAGTCTGTCTTGCCCTTTGTGGCATCTGCAGTTCCTGAAACGCTACCTGACGTATATTAGGTGCTCAGTAAATATTTGCTGGCTGACTGAATGAAATGAAGCCTCTTATTGGGTGCCAGCTGTGAAATAGCTGTACTTAATGTATCATGACACTAAGTGTCCTCATTCCAGAAGTGTGGTTGGATTCTGACTGTAGTTGGGATTCATCCTGTAAGGCTCCACAGGGCCTAATGTGTGATGATAAATCATAACCCTCCTAGGTGTTCGTAATCAATTTCACACCTCATCTGTTACCATGAGCAGAATATGTGAGAAAGTACCCTCGTCTTTGTAATACATCAGCTCACAAAAATAAAATGCCTGAAGATCAGAAAAGGGAACACTGTTATAGTGCATGGTGCTTAATCAACTACCCAGACAGTGATGGATTTCAGGGGATATTTACATTTGAATCATGACATCTAAAATGTCTCGAGTATAACCCATAGATTATGGGCAGCATGGAAGCAGTTTAAAAAATCATTTCTCATTATCTGTAGTTAAAAACAAAGTCTCTCTTTGTGGACAGATTCTTTCTACAAAAGTAATAATTAAAAAACTGAGGATAAAGTCCTGTCTAGATCAATGATAGGCTTGGAGTCCTCACTGTGTCCCTGACAGACATTACTGATTGATCACAGTACATTTTCCTACTTTGGCCGGTACGGTCTCATTACTTCTCAATCCAAGGCTCTAAGAAGCCATTGTTGATTGATCTGAGTTGGCTGAAACTCATTGACCATTGCTGATCTAGAGTTTGTCTTTGTTCTCTGAAAAGCTAACAGTAGCAGATAATAAGAAGATGGAGGGAAAAGCAAAGGAAATGCTATTGGTTTGGAAAGCATCATGGATTAGTCAACTGATCCACTTCCTTGCTTCT